ATTCAAAATGTCACTCTATCTGGGCTTCACTATTCCTCTAACTTCTGAAGCCATTTTGAGTTAGAACCTTAGCTCAATCCTAGTTGCTAACTCTCCTCTCTTCTTTCTCCACAATAGTAGAACAAAACTAGAAATATCACCCAATAAGCTATAATTATTTAAAATAAAGCTTCTCTAGTCAGTTAAATTCCAACCTTCTCTTCCTAAATGTTTTGTTCACAACAATTCAGGTTTCTTAATTCAATCACTTACCAAAAAGCAATTTAAAAATAATGATAAAACAGACAAACTTACAGATGGGCAATCCAAAATCAATTCTTCAACAGTTGTTAAGTCCAGACCAAGCGTTTCTGATAGAATTTCAAATATATATTTATATGAAGGGTCAATTTTCATTTTTCGGCTTTCTCTTGCATCTCTAAATCTTGCCTAAAGGATGAAAACTACGTGTAAAAGAATTGTAACTATGAAGGTAAATCACCAAATATTTCATTTGAAATAAAAGTGACACATATGAAAAATGGTATTATAAGCAAAACCTGTCTCTCTTTCAATGTTTCCTGCAGACTTGGAATGCCGCTCATACTTCGGCGATATCTGGATGAACTGCGCGAAGACTGGGAGAGCACATCAGACAACATTGACTGGACTATTCGGGGCGGAGGCCTAGATCGAACCCTATGTGCATAGGCCTCATCATCGACTGGAATAACTATCCTTTCATCAGAAGAAATGAGGTTCATATAATCACTTAAAGAGTAAGTAGGACCTTTCTCAAAAAGAGAGGCACCATCCTCCTCAAAGGATGCTCCTTCTGGAAAAGGCGGAGCCTCTTCACTGGAAGGAGGAGGAGCCTCTTCTTCTGGAGGGGGCGGGGCCTCGTTTCCTGGATCTGAAGGGGCAGCACCTTCTGAATCTGGAGGTGCTGCATCTCCTGACGAGGGAGGTGCTTCTTCTTCCGGAGGGGGTGGGTCACCTTCTTCAGCACTCATTTGTCCACTCCTTCCACCTGCAGAGTCCCTTAAACTTCAAAACCTACGGATTATAAAATGTTTTCTTTTAAAACTGTTCAATAAATTGAGTGTTGTGTGTTAATTTATCCCTTCTCTGGAAGCCAGACAGGTAGCAAAACTGTCTGTTTCTCCCATACTGCATCATCTAAAGAAACTGAGTTTACAGGACTAGAGAATTTTTTTTTTAAGTGGACCAGCACACACACATGTATGCTCTACATACACCTCTGGGAGCTTTTTCAAAGTGTAAGTGCTCCTCCTGATTATGATATAACCCTAGGGGACTGCGCTCCACACACATCTCAGCCCTGTCATAGTAACCACTGCAACTGATGGGAGGGCCCCTGTCTTG